TTTGATAAACGAGCGGCAACGGCCATTGTCACTTACAGTAAGGCCAAAGAGTCTGCAATGAGGAGCATGTCATGTTCAGGACGTATTACGCTCATGTTTATTGGATGACCTGGACTGTTCTGTTTGGAAAGATCGAAGTGATCCATATGCTTTCTGGAGGGCTTACTAAATTATTATTGCTTTAGTGACCCGCCCTATGCCCTTGCACTTCAAGAAAGTGGGTGCAAAAGTTCGCTGTCGTCCAGAAAATGTAGACATGTATGCCAGATGTCCGCCAGTGAATAAAAAGGACGAAATGAAAGAAAACACAAGAGAATGGGCTTAAATCTTCGAGGACCAAGGTTGCTGCGAAGCTTTTGCGAGTTGGACAAAAAAACATATCTTCAGCACGAAAATACCTTTCAAACCCTGTTTTATGCAGAATTTTTGCACGTTACCTCTCCCGAATTTTTTTTGCTACTCTACAGCTTTTTCAAGGAGAGATATTCGGAACATGATGTTTCTGAGATTGCACTGAATCAGTGCTCAAAATGGTACGTGCATCATTCCCATTCTTCCAGACTTGTGATACGCGGTTTCCCACTTATTCATCAACATGATCGAAGTATTGTTTGCTAGTGTTCAAGCTTTTCGGGAATTTGACCGAGTGTTTCGAAGGACGTTGAATTCCGGTGCATGGTATCGAGTAGTTGCCGAAAAAGCTGTGGAAGATCAACGTGGAGAGACCAACCCAAAGCGAGGAACGTCTTAATGAACCCAAATTAGCGGAGCGCCCGCCGTAGAGCGTGGTCCCATTCCTGCTCTCCGTCTGTGTTATCCGACAGGAGACCCGTCGCGCGGCAATAAGGCAAAGTCAGCGGACGAGTCGCAGCGCGTACTGTAGTGATTTCGCGTCAATTAGAATGTACCATTGTACGTCCTACATCCTACATCGCACATCATGCGCTGCGACTCGTCCGCTGACTGCTTTCTTGCCGCGCGATGGGCTTCCTGGCGGGTACCCCTCCGCGTAGGCAGAAGGGAAGGGTATGATACACGAGAGCTGCGGAAGACATTAGAGACCCGTAAGGAACCCTACGATCTCCGAGAAGTTGGTCTGCTTCTGCGGGGTGAGCAGCACAGGTGTAGTGGGGATGGAACGACCTTGAACATAAATGTTTAGGGCGTTAGGAGTCAATGGGCAGGGCTCAATGTTGAGGAACGCAATAGAACGGACCGCGGCAAGGAAACATGCTGCCTGTGAAAGTGTAAGGTTCGCATGTGCACAGATTGTGCCACCTTCGCCGCCTAATGCGCGTATGGGCCCCTAATAGTTAATAGTAATTGCAACTATCGACTACCCGTGCAACCTTCCGCCCAGCGCAGCGCATTGTTGCAAGGATCAGCAATAATGGTAGCGGCTCCATGCAACGTGGATTACAACGTAATGGCTAATATCACCTCAAGGTAGGATATACATATGATGGGAAGATAGCAATCGATGTCCCGTTTCTCATGCCAAAGTGGAGCATCGCTGAAATGAGGGGGACCTTATTCGTGGCGCAGTCGCCGCTCCTTTTGCTTTTTTTTCTTTTTGAAATCACCTTCCACCCTCAACTTCATTTAAGGCAAACCTCTTGTCTGGACTCAGTAGTAGGAATCGGGGCGCGAGTAATTTCGCCAACAGGGTCGTGCCACTTCCTCCGCTGCTCGTTAAGGATTTGCGACCATCGCAACCGTTCCCATCCAATACGATTGATGTAGAGATCAGCGTGCTGTCATGGGTATTGGCTTTCTGGTCGATGTCTCTCCGATGTCGGATCTCACTTTGAAACTCCAAGTTTGTGCCCATAATTTTAGCGTCTTCGATGATGTTGTTTGCTTTCTTCCACTTTTAATTCACTCCACAGCCCAACTATCAATACAAGGCGCTCTCATGAACAGTTTTGGCCCGAGGCTTTCCTTTAATGCACGCTCTCACTCATCCATTTTTCCAAGGCCTGCTTTGATGGCAAAGTCCGGGATTAAACTGACGTCTTACGGCATTTGCAGGTGACAGTGAAGATGAGAACTCCAGCGCAAATATGATAAAGCGGGAATAAATTGGTGACAAGGGTGAAAACGAAAGCCCTCTTTTCAGTAGCGGTGAAGCGAAATAGCACTGGTTCGTGATAGGTTCAATGATGTAGGGCGAGGCCAGTACCGCACTCCTACGGCCTTAGCGTCTTCGCCTGGTAAGTCGTGGCACAATGGGTACGTGCTCCACCCTTGCTCCACTCCATATCTTTCGCGCATGAGTCACATTTTGTCCAGAAATCCAGAACTTTGCCTTGGATCACAGAACCTTTGCGACATTTGTTCTACGTTCTTACTCTTGACCTGGGCTTTTAATTCCG